AAATTGTCAACAAAAAATTTGTCATTATTGCTCTTCACGTTGACGATTTTTTTATTTTTTCAAATAACGTGCGTGAAATAGAGAAATAGGAAGTAAATTTACATTACAGGATTTAGAAGAAGTAATGGATTGCTTAGGAATGAAAATTACAAGAGGTAGCAAAAATGGTAAATTGTATCTCGATCAAAATAAGTATAATGAAAATATTTTACTTAAATTTAATATGGATGATTCAAAGAAAATAGATATTCCTCTAAAAGCAAATATAAAATTAGAGAAGTGTACCAATTGCGAAGAAGAATTTCAATATCAAGAATTAATTGGATCTTTAATGTATCTTTCTATGTGTACTCGTCCTGATATAAGTTTCCTAAGTCAATTTAATAATTTTAATGAAAAAGAGCACTGGATTTCCGCAAAAAGAGTACTTAGGTATTTAAAAGGTACCATGGACTATTCCCTTTGTTTTCGCAAAACAGGAATACCCATACAAGGGTGCATTGATGCTGACTGGGGCAACTGTATTGAAAATCAAAGATCATATACAGGTTTTGTGATAGAAAGCAAATAAGTGTGGCGCTTAATTCTACTGAGGCAGAGTAAATGGCTTTGTGTGAGGGGGCAAAAGAAATAGTTTATATACAGGGATTGCTAAACGAACTGAATATGGAATGTGGCAAAATTGACATTTTCAATGATAACCACGGAGCTAGTAAGTTAGCTTATAATCCAATATTTCACAAGCATACAAAGCATATATCTATCAAGTATCACTACATCAGAGAACTCGTGGAGAAAAAGAAGGTTGAGATCAAATATTTGTCAACAGAGGAAATGCCAGCTGACATTATGACGAAGCACATACTTTGATTTTCTTTTACTATACGGAGAATGGTCGCACTGCGCAGCTTTCTGAGTGCCTTTTAAAAGGAGATAGAAAACTCCGCCATTTTGAACCCTTATTACGTGTTGCCTACATCTTGGCGCAATATTTTTAATAGGTGCGTTTTAATCATCCGCTTCTGCTTCGGAATTGTCGATTTTCTTGTTTTAATCTGATAGGTTAAAACGACTAAACCGACAATTCCGGAAGCAGAAGCGGATGATTAAAACGCACCTGATATTTTGCTTGCTGCTGTCAGTGTCAGTGAATATTATTTTTGAAGTCACAGTTTATTGCTAAAGAATCAGTTAGCTCACTCGGACCAGTTGAAAGTTCCAAAATAACATCCAGTCCAGGGATACAAATTCAGGATACGCAGAAGACTGCTGTTTTATTATAGGCGGTTGTCATATATTGTATTATTTGAGTTGCACAGTGCATAAACTGAAACATTGAGATCAAAAGTGCCGACGCAGAGTGAGCGATCTGATTCTTTAGCTGTAAACTGTGTCACAGGGTTCAAAATGGCCGCGCCCTATGTTGGGCGTGTCGGACCTCTCTCTTGCCTCGTATAGTAATCAAAGTATGTGTGACGAAGTCACTCTTCAAGCCAAAGCATTTATTTTGTGTGAATCAACTTGGTTTGGAAATGTTGTAGTTTCTTTTTGTAATCAGTCTTTAGCTTAAGGGAAGGTGTTAGAGCTATCTAATCTAATGACTAATTACTACTCTTTGTTTTATTTCTTCGTTTACTCGATAAAAACGATTGTCATTGAATTGATTGATTTTTAGTAATAAAAAAATATATACTGTCACGAAAATCAAATCTATTTTATTTATTCTGGTTTATGATACACATTACATCTAAAAAGTTTTTATAAATTAAAATTCAAAACCATTTTTTATATCTCATTGGGCGGATAACTAAGCACAACAGTAAAAGGCAAATTCTGTCCCTCACAGCAAATGTGAAGATTTAAATTTCATTTTATTTATCGAAATAATTAAGTATTTAAAGGTTAAAATGGTCAATAAATAACGTTCAATTAAGTGATTGTGCATGAATTATTGTGGTATTATTAAAAGCAGAACAACTGATTCAATCATAACAAAATGAAATTCCATTATGGTCGTTACATTTTTCAGCTCTAACAACCCCATTCAAAATATATACAAACAAAAATCTACTAAATGAGAACCCTCTAGTGATTAAAACCGCATTTAAAAAAGATTTATTTAAAAAAAATAAAATACTTTTTGTAAACATATATTCGAACTGATCTAAAATTGTAAACCAGGATATGCAATTTTGTATCCTAACAAAAATTATGAAATTACATTTAAACTTCCCAGTACAATGTCAATATAGAGTGCTGAACTTGTAGCTATAAAAGAATATTTTAACGTATGTGTTCAAGAAAATAAATCCAAGTGTGTTATATTTGCTGACAGAAAGAGTGCAGTAGAATACTTTGGAAAATGGAACGTTACCAGTCCTTCCAACTATATTGCCTTGGAAATTCTTAAGACAGTGTTTGAAATAAAATAAAGAAATTTCGTTGGTGTGGATAAAATCTCATGGAGGAATTACTAACAATGAGAGAGCAAAAAAGGCTACTGTTTAGGGAACTCATAAAAATAATAAAACTCCAAAATCAAATTTTATTGCTAAATCTAAATTATAAATGATTAAATAATGATAAGATACATATTCAAAAGAAGAAAAAGGAAAGAAAAACAAAAACATTCAACCAAAGTGCCCCTGGTTCAAAAACGAAATAAATAGGTCTTTTATTCGAGTTATATGTCTTATAAGAAGTAATCGTGCTAAGCATCCAGTCTACATGGAAAAATTTGGTCTATCAGATAATAATGTATGTTTAATTTTTGATTAAATTGCTGATCTCAATCTCAATCATATAATTTTGGAGTGTGTCCTTAATGTACTCAGAATTAATACTGGTATACTTCTACCAATAAACATTAATGTTTTACTTTTACTAAAATAAAATATTGTACGAATTTGTTAAAAAAACTAATACAAGATTGTAAGTAGCTGAACTACCCTAAAAAAATATTGTTAACCTGAAACGAAAAAATAAAGAAAAAGATGAAACAAAAAAGAAAAAATGGAAATAAAAAACAAAAAAATACAAAAAAAAATAGATATTTATATAAGTAATTACATACTCAAGTACGTATTTTAATAGCTGTAAGCTAAAATATAATAATAAAATTATGTTACAATAGTGAATAAAACAAAGAATTATGAATTACTACAATGGTTTCGCATTTTGTCTTCATCCAGTGCCATTAATTTAAAGAAAAAACAACAAAAAACTTAAAAAGGATTCAATACGCGAGTGCTACGATTGGTTATTGACAGATTTATTTTCTGTTCCGCCAGACAGCAAGAACAGTCGCATGCAGTAATATCCATAACTAATATTTAAAGCCTGTGATAAAATAGAACATTTGCTTAACCGACCAGGCTTTTCGGCATGTAATTTTGGCAACAAAATTTGCAACAAATGTTGAGTTAACTTTGTTATGTCGATAACAGACAAGATTTGGAATCAGTTAATCAGCTCTGTCAATATATAACTTACGCAAATCACTTCCATCGTCAGTCATTGTCACCGACCTCAGGGAATATTAGTACCAATACCGACCTAAGCCAATAGAAAACGAAATTAGGGTCATTTACTTTGTTTAACGAACCGATGATTTGTAACTCAATCTTTAACACCAAGAAGCTAGTTTCTTGATAAATATAAGTCAATATTTTCAATAATATTAAATTATATTATTAATATTTTGATATGAAAATATTTAGTTTTATTATAAATTATGTAGATAATTTTGATAAAATATAAAAATTTTGTTACGGCCAATCAATTTTACAATATATTAAAAAAAAAATTTAACTCACCCGGTAACTCGACTTTTACTGCTTAATCTCAGGGTCCGTGGGTTCAAAACAAATATATTAATTTGGATCTTAATGAGTTGAAAAATTCTTACATCCAAGTTTAACCGATTTACTTCCCTCAAAATTCCCTCAACGTTTGGTGAATTTACATTAATTTTGAAACTAAAAACAAATCAAACAATATATTAATTCACTAATTATACAAAAAGATTTTCTTTCTTCTTTTTGGATTTGACGGTTCTCTTGGTATCCCAATTGTACCTCACTGCTTCGTCTACTATGTAACTTTTCTGATTAAATGTTATTTATATTCAATTGCTTATTAAATTACTTTTTCTGTAGTATTCTACTGAGTAAGTACTTCTTTCATGAATATTTTTAATAAAATGTACCTTACTTCCCTTTAATATTTATTCTGTTCCTGCTTCAACCAAAATAATCAAGCACAGGTCCTTTTGTATAACACGTAATTAATTTCCATTCAACAAATCCAACTATTTTTACATTTCCATTCAATAATCCCTTTTCTGACAACCCTCTAAAAACAATCTGACAATTTTCATAATTCTATCTGACAATTCATAGTCGACATCCTGATTTCTTTTTAAAAATTTATTTTTCAGGACCGACCTTACCCGTCAAATGTTGATTATCAAATTATAAATTTGAAAACCACAAACACGTAATACTTCTAATTTTGAATTAAAATATATCAATAATCCCCCAAATTTCGTATTTACTAAATTTATTTTCATAATAAATTTTCAAATACGAAATTTTAAATTTATCATAAATATTTAAACCTAAACAAATTTTCCTTCCTTACTCAATCCAAATCATCACTACCTGTTAACTTTTCAATAACTACCCAAATAAAAATTAAACCATATTTAACATCAACAATCCATTTCATGGAAACAAAGATAAATAAAATTAACCCAATTTAAAACTATAATAAATTAACTGTTCCAAAAATAATTTAACTACAACTATATAATAAAATGAAATGACTAACTTAACTCATAAGAAAACTCATTTTTCATACCAAATGTATCCCAAATTTTTTATATTTGTATTCAAATTACATCATTTCTTTTAATAGTTTGTTCAAAATTTCCTCTGTTCCTGTCCTTTTCTTTATATTCATAATCCGCTCTATTTACAATTAATTACTTTCAATCAAATTTCATACATTCTTCACACTATTTCTCTTTATAATTCTATTTAATATTTCATAATAATATTTATTATAAATCATCAACTTATCTTTATACATAATATATTTCATAATTCACATATTTCATAATACACATATTTTATAAAACACATATTTCATAATACACAATACACATATTTCATTTATACTCTTTTTTCTTGAACCATTTTCTTTCTTCACCTTTTTACTTTATACTCTATCAATTCCTTTCTTTTAAATAATCTCTTCTTGAACACATTTTTTTTTATTCTATCTTCTTTAATAGTCTATTTGTTCTTCATTTGAATACCTTTCTTTTTTATTTATATTCTATTCTTCTTTAATATTTTATTTGTTCTTTATTGGAATACATTTCTTTGCTAAATATTCTTTATTTTACTTATTTAGTGAACTTTTAAAATATCCCATATTCAATATAATATTTCCTATTTCCAATTCGTTTTCCATATTCTAACCTTATTTTGATTTTCAAGTTTTTCCGTCCGTCTATTTAAATTTATTTCTTTTCTTTGACTTTCGTCCTTACTCTTTCTTTCTCCGATAATCTTCTATTTTTCATTATCTTTATTAATTCCTGCTTATATTTTATTTTAATTTTCCTCTGCCATATATTTTTACTCTTCTGTTTGGTACTAAATTCTTTGTTTATACTTTTAGATTTCTTATTTCTTATTATATTTTGTTTCTTATATTTCTTTATCTTTTTAATTATTTCTTTCTTTAATAATCCTTCTATATTTATTTTCATTTTACCTTCCTTGTACCTTTTATTATCTTGTTCGATTATTTTTGTAATTTCCTTTTTGTTTCTCGATTTCTTTTTTAATTCTTCAATTTTTGTTTTTCCTTTATTTTGTTCACTTATACATACTTTTTCTCTTTCTATCTCTTCTGTATCTTTACTAATATCTTTTTCTTCAATTTTTTGTTCGACTGTTTCTTTCTTTATTTCATGTTTTAAAAATTCTTGTTTTTCTTCTAAAATTTCAAATACATTATTTTGAAAATTTTTCACTTCTATACTTCTTTCAATCATGTCCACTCTTATATCATTTTTGTTTTCTTTTCTTATTTGTTCTATCTTATTTATTGTTCGTAAGTTTGATTCTTTTATTTCTTGTACTATTATTTCCAGTTTCTTTCCTACCTTCTTTATTTCACTTTTTATATCCTGTTTTATGTTTTCCTCCATTATCTCAATTTTCTTTATAAATTCTTTTCTCTTCTCTAACCTTTCTTCTTTATAATTTCTTCTATTTTCATCCATTTTTTTAATCATTTCTTCTCTATCTTCTAACCTTTCTTCTTTATCATTTCTTCTATTTTCGTCCATTTTTTTATTCATTGCTTCTATAACTTCTTTATTTTCGTCCAATTTTTTATTTATTTCATTCATTTTTTTATTCATTACTTCTATATCTTCTAACCTTTCTTTTTTTCTTTCTTCTTTATCATTTCTTCTATTTTCATCCATTTCTATCAACATTTGAATTACTGTCTTTTCTTGGTCCTTTTTCTCTAGTTCTGCTCTGATCCTTATTGATTTATCTTTCTCTCCTTCAAAACTTATGGCTTCGTCATTTTGATTTTCCATCTCACGTCTATCGTTCCTTCTTACTACTTCTGTTTCTTCTAATAATTCTTCACCTTCTCCTATTTTTTTCCCCCTCTTAAATCCATGGCAAAATTTATTTCCTATTTAATTTATAAGAAATTTAAATTTAATGTATACAAATTCAAAACAATTTATTATACTACCTTTTATTGTACGCCAATGCCTTTATTTTATAAAATTTGTTTTTCTAAAATTCAAACTATCTATCCTAATAATCCTAATAACCTATCGAAAAAAAATATATAAATTTGACAATTGAAATTTTTATATACCTGTCAATCTGACATTGACAACCTGTCAATTTGACAGCCCTACGTTGGGCGCCATTTGATATGAAAATATTTAGTTTTATTATAAATTATGTAGATAATTTTGATAAAATATAAAAATTTTGTTATGGCCAATCAATTTTACAATATATTAAAAAAAAATTTTTAACTCACCCGGTAACTCGACTTTTACTGCTTAATCTCAGGGTCCGTGGGTTCAAAACAAATATAATAATTTGGATCTTAATGAGTTGAAAAATTCTAACCTCCAAGTTTAACTGATTTACTTCCCTCAAAATTCCCTGAACGTTTGGTGAATTTACATTAATTTTGAAACTAAAAACAAATCAAACAATATATTAATTCACTAATTATACAAAAAGATTTTCTTTCTTCTTTTTGGATTTGACGGTTCTCTTGGTATCCCAATTGTACCTCACTGCTTCGTCTACTATGTAACTTTTCTGATTAAATGTTATTTATATTCAACTGCTTACTAAATTACTTCTTCTGTAGTATTCTACTGGATAAGTACTTCTTTCATGAATATTTTTAATAAGATGTACCTTACTTCCCTTTAATATTATGTTCTTGCTTCAACTAAAATAATCAAGCACAGGTCCTTTTATATAACATGTATTTATTTCCATTCAACAAATCCAACTATTTTTACATTTCCATTCAATAATCCCTTTTCTGACAACCCTCTAAAAAAAATCTGACAATTCTCATAATTCTATCTGACAATTCATAGTCGACGTCGACATCCTGATTTCTTTTTAAAAAATTATTTTTCAGGACCGACCTTACCCATCAAACGTTGATTATCAAATTATAAATTTGAAAACCACAAACGTAATACTTCTAATTTTGAATTAAAATATCATATCAATATTAAATTTTAATTTCATTATCTCCATTTAGAATCAAAGCATCATTGCTGAATTAGTATATTTAAATTAACTTCATTTTGATAGCATAGGTGGCTAAGTTTCATTCGGCTTCACCGTTTAAATGAACTTTATTTGATAGCTGAGGTGGCTAAGTTTTATTAGATTTCACCGTTTAAATTAACTTAATTTTTTTAGTACAGGTGGCTTAGTTTCATTGGGTTTCACCATTTGAAATAATTTTTAATATTTATATTATTATCATAGTAATATAGTTAGTTTCTACATACTGTCTTCCATAAATATAATTTAACATTATACAAAATTTCACAAACTTACAATTTCATAGTAAGAGACTATCTTTTGGATTCAAAAACTAATTCAGTTTGGTGGTCTCTTTAATAAGTGGATATTTTAGAAAGAAGCACATAAACGTACATGGCAAGAAGAAAATTTAAGGACCCTTAAAATCCTATTAAATATAAAATGTAAACGCCTCGTAGTGGTATATACTGGAACTAGTAATAGGTTGGTTGAAGATACAGAATTATTATTTTCCACAAAATCAAAGAGTGCAGACTATAGAAAACAAGTAGAAAATGTATCAAAGTTGATCAATTGTAGTAAGAGATCAGTATTAAGTAGAGTTTCCCAGAATTGTGTTACAAAACCTCTGCTTTTTATGGCTTACTCATGTGATTTACAATATCATATCAAGAGCAACTTGGTGTTCTACGCTGATGACACCAAGATGATTTCCTCGGATCCAACTTCAAGCTTGTGTTATCTGCAGCACGATATTAATTCTATTGTTAAATGATTTACTGCTTGCTGCTACCATTAAATATCGAGAAGTTTATAGTTATACATATTGATGATAAACAATCAAAGACTAACAAATAACAATAATTATTTCACTATAAACTCAGTATATTTTTAAAACGATTTGGGTGTTAATATAAACTATAAATATAAATTTGTTGAACAAATCGTTTTAATAGAAGAATTCTCTAACAAAATTAACACCCATAGTTTGGACAAACCATGTAAAGAATGTCGAAAAAATTAATTCAATGTGACTTGGGCATGGGCAAAGCTTAAAATATATAATGAAGATAAAACTCTAATAGTATCATTGATTAAGAAGATAATTTAGACGAAGAATACTGTTTCAGTAAAGAGAGGCCTATATCACATACTTTGATTTTCTTTTACTATACGGAGAATGGTAGCACTGCGCAGCTTTCTGAGTGCCTTTTAAAAGGAGATAGAAAACTCCGCCATTTTGATCCCTTATTACGTGTTGCCTACATCTTGGCGCAATATTTTTAATAGGTGCATTTTAATCATCCGCTTCTGCTTCGGAATTGTCGGTTTTCTTGTTTTAATCTGACAGGTTAAAACGACTAAACCGACAATTCCAGAAGCAGAGCGGATGATTAAAACGTACCTGATATTTTGCTTACTGCTGTCAGTGTCAGTCACATACTTTGATTACTATATACGAGGCAAGAGAGAGGTCCGACACGCCCAACATAGGGCGCGGCCATTTTGAACCCTGTGACACAGTTTACAGCTAAAGAATCAGATCGCTCACTCTGCGTCGGCACTTTTGATCTCAATGTTTCAGTTCATACACTGTGCAACTCGGATAATACAATATATGACAACCGCCTATAATAAAACAGCAGTCTTCTGCGTATCCTGAATTTGTATCCCTGGAGTGGATGTTATTTTGAAACTTTCAACTGGTCCGAGTGAGCTAACTGATTCTTTAGCAATAAACTGTGACTTCAAAAATAATATTCACTGACACTGATAGCAGCAAGCAAAATATCAGGTGCGTTTTAATCATCCGCTTCTGCTTCCGGAATTGTCGGTTTAGTCGTTTTAACCTGTCAGATTAAAACAAGAAAACCGACAATTCCGAAGCAGAAGCGGATGATTAAAACGCACCTATTAAAAATATTGCGCCAAGATGTAGGTAACACGTAATAAGGGTTCAAAATGGCGGAGTTTTCTATCTCCTTTTAAAAGGCACTCAGAAATCTGCGCAGTGCGACCATTCTCCGTATCGTAATGGAAAATCAAAGTATGTGGTGTCAGTGAATATTATTTTTGGAGTCACAGTTTATTGCTAAAGAACCAGTTAGCTCACTCGGACCAGTTGAAAGTTTCAAAATAACATTCACTCCAGGGATACAAATTCAGGATACGCAGAAGACTGCTGTTTTATTATAGCCGGTTGTCATTTATTGTATTATCCGGGTTGCGCATTGTATAAACTGGAACATTGAGATCAAAAGTGCCGACGCAGAGTGAGCGATCTGATTCTTTAGCTATAAACTGTGGCATAGGGATCAAAATGGCCGCGCCCTATGTTGGACGTGTCTAACTCTCTCTTGCACCGTATAGTAAAGTATGTGACCTATATTCAAATTCTTATCGTAAAAGTAAATTAGTAAAAATTGTTTTAATTTGACTTTACTATAAAATAACTAGTTAGTTATGTTCCAAAATTTATACGTCCCTGCAATCTCGTATAATCTCGCTAGAGTCTTGCTATGCTCTTTTTATTTTAGTCTATACCAAACCATGGTATCAGCTTAAGATTATAAACTATGATGTGCTTTCCATCTCGACGAATATACTCCAAATCCACTAGTGAAATTAGCCATCCATTCGGCTTAGTATCGATCTTTCAACATTGTTAAAGAACGCGGGCCAGGTATAGGGTCTTAATAAAATGAAGTGTTCGTAATTTCCGACTGTCAATTTAAAGTGGCAGATAACCAAGACCGAAACATACACCTTCATCATTGTGTCATGTTTGAGTTTGACTTACGTTTTGAGCGTGCGATTTTCTAGTGAAATCTTCGTTAAAACCAATACGAGATCGGGGAAGGATTATGGGTATGAGTGAACGGTTTGAACGTTTATTGGTTTAGATTTACAAGTTATAATTAGGTTTTAAGGAATATATCAATTGCACAGCCGTTGTTTAATGGGCTAAAATGTATGGTTTATGAAAGAATTAAACTATACGATGTAAAAAAATTAAATGAAAACTCCTTGAAGAACAATTTTTCTTTTTTTATTTGCTTTTTCTTTTTCATTCTTTTGCCTTAACAGGCGTTGGTTTATAATTATTTCTCTTTCTAAACCATTTTTCTCTATCAAAGTTTCATCTTTGTTATTTCCGATCTCTTTATTTTGTTGCCTATTTCCATCTAAACTTTCCTCATTGCCTTTTTTCCCGTTTTTCATTCATTTTCTCGCTATTCTTTCAGTTTTAATTCATACTAGGTTATTATATGATTATTGTTTCGTTTTGATCTTTGATATTATTGGTTTCTGTTTAGTTATTAGGTTTTCTTATATTATATATTTCTTATCATGTTCCATTTAGTTTTCACTACCATAAATTAGTGTTGTAACTGTTAAAATATTGTTATTTCTTATTTTTGTGTCTGTAGCAGTATCTGTATGCCCTAGTATTATTTTAATTGTAGAATCGTATATTCTGGTTGATATATTTGCCCTGTTTGTTAGTTACATATTTTTTCTTCGTCTATAAATATATTTAATAGGTTTTCATACGTTGTTACCCTTTATAGTGTTATGTCTTTACATTTTACTTTTTTATTATTCATATCATCTCTTTTTTTTTTTTTCGTTTGCAATCATGATATTAATTTTATTATTATGTAATGTGTTTATTTTAGAAACAGTTTATTTATTTCACTCTGTTTATTTATAATTTATTTACACTAAGTACTAATTAAATAATTTATGCTCTAGCACTAATTTATTTAACACTTTATCTTCTCTCTACAATATTTATTTTAATACTTAAGTACGGCAAAAGAATCCACGTTTACACAAAAATGTAACAGCCTCGAAAAATCTAGTCATGTCTCAAAGAATCTAGAATTTCTCGAAATTCTTCCTCCATGAGCATTTTTTTCTACGGTCACTGTCTAAAGTAGGCTTTTACACATTCAAATCTAACAGGAAAGTGGACGCTTTCCGCGAATTATCATAGTTTGACATCATTTCCTCACATAGGCGGAAAGTTACGTTTCGCACCCTATTTTCATTTAAATTTTTCATTAGAAAGATTGTTATTATAAAGCTAATCGGTATTTTAAAACAAAATGTAGACTAATCTGAATCTTTAAGTGGAAAATTTAATACTCAAACTCATTTTCCCTAATATTTAAATGATAATTGAAATATTAAAAATAAATTACCCTGTTTTTAACCCTCATATAACATGCCTTGTTATGCCTTGTTGGTGTAGAGCGTAACGCGTTGGTCTTTTACCTAAAGGTCGTGATTTAAATCCTCACCAGTTACTCTTTTTTTATTTTAAAGTGAGTTTTTATT